ATCTGAAGTTAGATAATGCCTCATTGAATTTTTCAACTCCTACCTCCATTCCTGGCTGTAGCTTTTAATGTTTAGTTAATGGAGGGAAGAAATGTTTCCCTAGTGACTTAGAAGAGATTTGTCAGCTATAAAAGCACACAGGAAAACTGATAAAAAAGGTAATCCTAAGAAAATGCACTCCAAATGGATTACAAGGTAACAAAGTCAACACAGGCGTATGTGTCAGAGTGACAGCTTGTATTTACTAACGCTGTATGTGTGAGCTGGTTAGTCAGAGATGCTGAATCTGGTGTAATACATGAGCATATCAGTTTCAATAAACACTGACATAGATTTTATTTCAGCTTTAACACCACATATTGCAAAATCACAAATGCATTTAACCAAGAGGGTACATGACAATTCTGTAACAAACATATCATCTCTTTGACATCAGTTTCAAAGGACTAAGTTGACTTTGGCTGTAGTCCTTCTGCCTGCTGTGTTATTGCAGCAATGAAGATCAACACTGTGTTACAGCAGGACCGTAGAGAAAAATAATCTTCAAAAATATGACATAACAAAAGAAAAGCATTGATCAGAAAGTCAAGAACTGGAAAGCAAATGTCTTTCATTCAGTTCTCCAGACTGATTCTTCTGTTTAGTCAGTTCTCTAGACATTTCACAATTAATAAAGAAAACTTAAGACAGTCTGAGAAATCATACAGAAATTCAGTGGCAGAGAATCCTCATTTTCAGGTATCACAGTAACTAAACAATATTTCTACTCCTTAAAAATAACTCTGAAAAAATAGGCAGATCTTATATTTTCACACTAAACTCTTTGAAAAAGTATTATTTCATTGCAACAGCACTGATCCCAAACACAGGAATTTTGCCTCACAGACTTGCAGTCTTCATTTTGTGACTCCTTATTACAATAATAAAAGTTTTATGAACTGAAATGACGCTATTAAGAAAGGAAAATTAGCCAAAGCCTCTCTGGACTTATTCACAAGACCAGAATATTCACTTCTTGTTTCCGTAAACTCTGGTTATACATGAAAATGAAACATTAAAGTTCTGGTCTAGAGCCAAGTTGCCCTAAAACATAAAAGTTTAAACTACAAAGCAAGCTGCTGCTGGAAGACATTAGCACTATCCATGTACGGGATCCATGTCATTGCTGTCTTATGAAAGGCACTGAAGAACAATTATGCCCATAACTAATGGAACTGATCAACTTCTCCTCCAAAAAAGCACACCAGCCTTGCCTTTAGAACCATGTAATATCTTGAGCAGCCAAAGAAGCTGGTGTTTGACTTTCTATTGCCAACAACATGGGAAAAAGAAAAACTACTATGAAAGTATTAAAGAAAATTCCACCAACATCACATCGGTCAGCTGTTAAACCTTCACAAGTTCAGACCAGGACACAGACCAAAGACTGCCCTGGGAACTCCAGTTTACATACTCCATGGCCCTGGCACAAGTAAGATGATCTCCATCTTGTTTGGTGAGATCTCTGCAGCGATTTTGATACAGTGAGCTACAGAAGAAAGTCTCCAAAGCACAGAAGTAAGTATCTTGGTACATCTAATTTGTCTCTGATAAGACTTGGTGAGCGCAGTCAATGACTACTTTGTCTCTCGCATGGTCTCAAGAGTTTACGCTATCCCCTTTTCAGCATTTACAGAAGACCATCAGCAAAACAGGGAAACAGCATGTCCCCACGTTCCAACAGTGTGATCATGATATTCGGCACTCTGTTGCTTTTTCTGGATACCTTTCAACAAATATATATATAATTTTTATAATGACATAGTAATAAGAACACCTGCTCATGGAAGCCAAACACCTGGATGCAAGCCTTCCGCAGCCAGAGGGTTAAGTCAGGGTGAAGTGACAGCAATGTACTCAGTGGGGGACACTGATAGGGTCTAAAAGAGCAGGCACCATTAGCAATGGGTCACTCTGAATACAAGCATAAAGATTTAGAAAGTCAGAAGCACTGGAGAGCAGTAGCGCCATCCCATGACTTACAGTTCTTGCCATGTTTTTGAAGGGATGTAGTTTCAACCGCTTTATTACATGCTGAACTCAAAGCTGCCTGTTTTGAGTGATGCATGCTCATGGCGTAGCTACTGATTTAGCCCTTGATCTTAAGGGCAATATATGCCTATTTTGTGAAGCCAAAGATTAGGTGTTAAAATGCTCCGCACAGTCAAAACGATGCCAGCCCAGGAAAGCAGAACAGCAGCACTTTACATGCCTAACAAATCTTAGTAGCAAGAACATGAGATGTCTTAGGATTCTCAGTCACACTACAGGTAAAGACGGATTTTGTGGGGATTGTTCACCTGGACCCACAGGCCTAAATTCATCCCAGGTGGCACTTTTGGCACATAAATGTTGGGTTTTTTTTACTCTGGCTCTATGTTTCTTCCTTCCTTGTAACGATCCTGACAAACAATCCATTTGTTTGTGACCTCCACACTGGATTACTATAACTCACTATGTGGTTGAAGCTGAACGTGCAGGTAAAGCATGGGATCCAGATGTGACTGCTCATCTTTTCCAATGCTCACATCATTATAGAATAACAGACCTGCATTTAAGGCTCTCCACAAGCTCCCAAGTAGTTTCTAAAACAGACCCAATAAAGAACCGAAACATTTTAGGTTGTTCAACCCTATGATTTAATAGGTAACCTGTTTCAGTGCATAGGGACTGTTAAGAGCCTTGGAATTGCAAACCGGACAGCCCAGATGCTGAGAAGCCTAGGATGCACTACACACAGAGGCATATCTGAAAACTCCTCCAGAGTGTAAGGGACTCCTAGTGCCAAAGTTAGCGATCCTTCATGGTAGTTAGGAACACAGATGTCTAGAACTCTCAAAGAACTGAGCAGAGCTAGCTCTTTTATTCTATAGTCTATGTTCTACATAGGTATTTTATTTAACACAAAAGTTGTGGTGGTAGTGAAACCACTCACTTTCATCTAAGATGTTGTAGTTAGTATACTTACCAAAAAAGTGGACAGTATCAATTCAGTTCCTAACTTGGCCTATAGCTGAAGTCTTCACCACCATCTTCAAGGAAAAAACCCTTATCTGTTGCAGAGACTTTTTTTTCTTGTGATCCTTCGGGTTTCAGGAATTTTGAATTCCATCCTACACAGTGGCACAACTTCACGCAGATTTACTAAAAAGTGTGTTCTTTTTCAGTTCTATATATAGCCTGGTGGTTAGATCCATTGATGAGGACACCAAAAAATGTACGTTTGAATCTCCTCAGGCTGAGTAGCAAGCTAATCTCAGACCAATTGTTTAGCTCAACATTCAGGCTAGTATTTAAAAGGTGGTTTGCATCACAACTACTTTTTTTTTCCAAGGGGTGACTTCACTTTCATTCTGTGAGAACCTCAGTCTTGCTGATGTCGGTTAAACATAGTCACAGGATCTTGGATGGAAGAACACTCATCAGGCCCTACATAAGAACAGCACACTTGAGCTCAAAATGAGCTAATTCTGTGCCTGCACAGAAGCAAACTAAAGAGGAAATTTTATGGTTAAACAGGAAAGTATTGTAGTGTGGTTAGTCACCTTCAGGGGTAAATGGCATCTGAATTATGGAGTCTTGAGGATGTCGATTCTGGCACCTCATTTAGGCTTAACTACTAATTATTAGACTAAGTGCAACCTAAGTACTGCTGCAGATTCCTCACTTCTTTATTGGATCTAATCCATTATGGAATTTTTAAATCTGTGAATGGTTCAAGACCTGGCTTTATTAAAGTCTGTGTTTTGATATATGAACCGTAGTGGCTGCTAAATAACGAAGCCCCAGCTAAAACATAGCAAAATGAGGACAGAGCATTTTCTGTGGTGATCCAACTATTCATTCAGATCAGGCCAAGCAAATCAGAGTGTTCACATCTTTAAGAGTACTTGAAAGTCTTCTCACCAGATATCACAGGAAGGGGTGCAATTTAGTATTTTGGATTGATAGGCAAGATATTTCCTGCCTCACCTAAACATATTTCTTTGCTTATTCTTTGACTCTTATCATGAGAGGAGTGAAACAATGTAGCTTATCTTGGTTTTGACTATCATTACAGCATAAAGAGGATGGATAGAGGTTTTATATCAAGTTTCTAGCTTTGAGTTACCTGGCATGCAAAGTTTGACTTTCTTAAGCTGTGCCAATTCTAAGCTACAGTACTGGCTAAAAGATATCTGAAAAGGTTCACTCTGGAATTTCAAAAGCAAGCTGAGACTCAGCTGTAACTTGGCAGAGTTGAGTTCCAGACAAAAATGATTCAGCCTTTTCCTTCATTACATGTTATCTTTCACTTTCTTTCATCTTACCTTTTTCCAACCTTTCATATTTTAGAGGAAAACCAAGAATATGGAAAAAGATCATACTCCAGGGTTTTGGACTTGCATAGTAACAGGCTATTTTCAGAAAAAATCAAGGTTCAATACACAGAGAATTACAGAAGGATCCTACACAAACAACCAATATCAGTACTGATGTTTCAGACTGAAAAAAATGACAATATTTTCATGGCACATTTGAACAGTTTATAGATAGGATAAGGCTCTTCTTTGAATTTGTCCATTATAGATCTAAAAATGACAATGCAGTTCACTGGCATCTTGCTGAACTAAGACATTGAAAAGTACAGTATCACTATCAGTAGAGCACAAAGAAAAATTTTACGTGGTTCCCTTTGTGTAAGTTAGTCCAGCAGAATATTATTATCCTCAAAAATTCGTGACTTATAAGTGAGAATGTAAATTCATAGACTATAGAATAAAAACCCGAATTGTTCTATGAGACTTTGGACAAAAATTAAGCCCCTTCTACGCTACTACTACTCTGAATGACGGTTGAAAACCTTGCTAATTTTTAATTGTTTCATATAATTAGGTTTTAATAGAGTTGACGAAGAAAAGCAACTACAACAAATTTAACATATGTAACAAATAAGGAAATTTGCATTAGATTTGGAGGATCTGGCAGACTGCCATTCACCACAAAGTCTTGGAACACGATAAAGTCATCCATATACTTAACAGATGTTAAACAAAACAAAAATAAAAAAGTGCTATTGCTAAAAAAATTCTTATGGTGAATTCAGATTTGGCTCAATGTTCATAACACAACTGACTTGACAAATGAAAAGTAAAGATTCAGATAAATAAAACACATAATAGAATGGCCACACACAGTGTGGGATCTCATAAACTACTGCAAATATTTGTACTGTTCTAAAAGTCATCTTGATTAAAAATTAACTATGTATTCACTGCTTTTATTCAGTTTTCCTGAAAAGAACTAAAAGTCAATTTAAAACATGGCAAAATGTCCTGGTGTTCATACATTTTTCTCATCTGTAGAAGTAACTAGCACAGGGTTTTGTACTGCAGTCATTTATTTCTTACTTACAAATCAGACAATTCTTGACAAAACAGTCCAGTCCAGTAACTCTTCCCATAATAAAAAGTTATATACGGGTTCTATTTTGGTTCTGTGCTGAAATGGTTTTCTTATATTTGTTTTCTTGATATAAATGTCCTTGGTCAAGGTAGATGACAAATGTAATTAAGCTGCAAAAGAAATCCATTTAATTGCTAGTTCCAGTATTGAAGGAAGCTTGTGCAACCTTTGAGTTTGTTTTCTTGTTCAAAGCTGTACAGATGAAGTTTCCAGCTTCCATCACTGTATAAAGATTTACTCCCTAAAAAAGAGGTGAAAAATATTAAGAATAATAAATGCACATGTTGAAAATGCTCAAACTCCAAGTTTTTTTGCTCCAGGGTCTAATTTTTGCAAACAAAGGGCCTGATTCATGTCATAGGTCAGTAATGAAGATCATTAGAGTTACAATGATGTACACAATAGTTCCAGTTGTTTGGAAGGTTCTGCCATTTTGAGGCTGATTTCTTATCCTATAACAGCAGTGGACTGAATACTCTAGTAATATCTTTCAAACTCAAAAGAATTTGAGATAAAGAACTGGTATAACAACTTGAAGAAGTTAGTTAGAAGAAAAATACAGTGCCTACATATGTGCTGTACTTATTTATCACCCAATGCTAAGAATCTTCATGCTTATAAGTAACCCATTTGCAGCTCAGGAAAACAGAGGAAACACATTTGTATTGGGAACTGAGTTCAGTGAGAAACGGGATCCTGCATTCTCTTGAATAAATATAATCTCCTTCTAGTTCATTTCAATGCAAAATTACAATTTACATTGCTAGCACAACTGAGCAAAAAATTGCAACTGCTTGATCTGCAAAAATGATCTGAAAAAATGTTCCTTGAGCAATCAACTGTTTTTTAACTAACATAAGATACATATCAGTGCTGCTTGATTGCTAAAATGGAATCAGATCACTGATCAAAGAGGAAAAAATACTGCATTGTTGGCCTCCTGGATTACTCATGTAGAGTAAAAGTTTTCGAGTTAGATTGTGTAAGTGATGTAAGTACTTGCTCCAAAGACTGGAATTCAGAAGCCAGTAAAATTCCTGTAGAAGGGATGTGAAAGAGAACTTTGAACTACCAATACACTGAGCAGTCACATAAAACTGGGAGAAGTGTGTCACTCAACATTAAAGGGTACAAGGTATATTGCACCAGAAATAGGCTTTCATAACACTTATGGATTTATGCACTAAAGTTCAGACCAAGACCTGATTTAGATGCTTAATCCTTTAATTGGATCTAGCACTTATTTCCATGTTCTACAGTAAACTTTGCCTTTTTCATTCTTGGAATTGGCTAAAAATGTTAATGAGAATAGAAATTACTTCCCAGAAATGTAATCAAAAATATTTTTAATTTGAAAAAAAAAAAGCTTCAAAGTTTCCAGTCAACTCTAGTATATAGCACCATCTAAAACATATTGTTCAAAGACACGCTTTTATAACTGTCTCATTTTAATACAGCTATAACAAGGGTGATTTCAGCTCATTCTGTTTATCCTTTATTGGTCTTTACTTAGGTTTGGTTTGCAAAGTGCTATTGTACATAACGAAATCTAAGAAGTTCTTAGAGCATCTGTGCTTTTTTTTATTAGGAGGAAATGAGAAACATACCACCATAGACATACTTGGTAGTTAGATTATGGAAGATGGCAAAATAAAAAACCCAAACTATACAAAATTCACATTTTCAGCACTGTAACACTGCATAATGTGATATGTGTTGATAAGAAACATATGTTCACAGTTCACATTCATTAAATGGAATACAAGCATCTTTGCTTTTTACATTGTCTTTCTTATGTCAGTGTTGTGAACCAAAGAGGATTACCACAAGGGCACAAAACCCAGCATTCACAGCATGACTCACAGATGGCAATAGGAAAAGAGTAGTGACAGGTGCTTGTAAGGTTGTTGAGTCAAAATAATATGTCTTCAGATAGATACTCAGAAATGTACTGAAGTGTACTTGGTAACCACTCCATATATCCAAAATGATTCCTGGACACCAAGGAATGAAACCATGAAACACAAAGACAAGTACCTCCAATAGTATCTATGAACTTGGATAAGTGCCTTAAGTTAGAAAAGCTTCTGCCAGAAGGCAAAGTCCTTTAACTCCCATTGACTTCAATTAATTAGTTCTTATTCAGCATTCATAAATACCACGTCTATTATCTCTCTGAACTTCGATTTCAGTGTCAGTAATGTAAGGTCGACAGGACTTAGTCGGTTCTCAGAAAGGCTTGTTGTTTGCCAAGCACTTTGAAGGCATCATAAGCACAAGTACTATTATTGTAATTGCATAGAAGCCATATAGAAACTGTTTTTATAGAAAGTACATGTCTCCTTACAAAGTCACATAAGCATTAATGATCTATGACATAATTATCTCTCCATTACCATGGTACAACCAATAAATCTCTTCGTAGATGGGCTCTGCTAGAAAACTATTTCACATTTAGCCTGCTAGAGATTCATTTCACGTGTCACTTCTTGGTTACGTGTTCTGAAGAACAATATAGAACAAGCAGCAATTATTATTGTGATGTATCATCTAGTCAATCCGAACTCAATAATGTACACTTAAATACTGTCCATCCATTGGTTGACCCTTTAAGTGACATCAGTCAACAAAATGAAAGCTTTAGTGCATAGCTGAGAGGAACATGAGAAAGCTCTCCTTGCAAATGGACAGCATTAGCAATTATAATTTCATTTTGTGCCATTGTAGAAAAAGGGACATATTAATAGATTTTTGCAATAATGATTTTACAGAATTGGCCATGGTACCAAAACCAACCAGCACCGCAAAGACCAAAGCTCATACATTAATGTAATAATTTTGAGGTTCCGTGTCTCTCATCCAATAAACCACTCTTTTCTTAATAGGCCAGAAAAGGGTCAAGGAGCAAAGCCTTGTGTTTTGCTATTGCATAATCTAAACTTTTTTAAAAAGGGAGAACTAAATGTTTGATGGTGATATTCTTATGTCGACGGGATTTGGTATCAACCTTTAGGACAAGCTAGATTTCTGCTTGGACACCAGATCATTAACAGATTAATATATCTTATCCAGAAGCCTGGAACAAGGTATATTTCATTTAATCAGGCTATTTTTATTTAATTGGTTCCTTTTGCTACAAGTCAGTTGGAAAAGCCAATGGGTATTTTGCCCAAGGAAAGACTATACTTAAAGCCTAAGTCTAAGGTGCACAACAACGTAAAGTGAAATGCGTGATTTCTCCTCCTTACTCCAAAGAACTGTGTTGTTTCAAAAGAATAAACACCTTCTTCCTGAAAAAAGCTACCCCAAAGCATGTATGAACAGTTCAAAACAGAGTCCACTTGTACAATGGACAATTGTGATTAAACCTTTTCTAAACAGGTATCTGACATCTACCCAGAACTCCCTAAGAAGCACATGAAAGCAGGTAAACATTACAGTGAACTCTGTCAGGTACTGAATATGGTGTAACAGTGCTCAGGGGATGTACAATTCAGAAACACGTTCCATGATCCTTTTATGTCAAGGAACTCCGTTGGCATGCATGTCACACTGAACTGCAACCAACAGACAAGTAATAAGCTCCCCAATACCTCAGATCGTTGTATTTCAGACATCAGGCTTTTCAATTCCTTTCTGTGGTAGTTTAAATACAAACCACACACGTTGCAGTTTTGGCAGCTCTTTATATGTTCTCCTTTGAGCTTGACTCTCAAAAGTCTACGTCTAAGTTAAAGGACAAGTCGTTGTATTGCTTGAGTTAGAACAAACTCATTATGCCACATTTCCAGAACAATGATGACCAACAGGAAGACCAAAGAGCGCATTCTTTGAAGAAGGTAGCATTACTTAGTTCCCAGGAATACAGTATAATTAACATGTCAACCAAGCCAGGGATACTAAATGTGTGCTCTTCAAGCATGCATGCTTACTGGCAAGGTTCATTAAAGTGCAGCTCAGTGCAGAAAAGCTGCTTTGCCCTCTCCTCCAAGAACAGGGCTGGAAATAAAAATTACTGTGAAGCCTGCTAGCCAGTAACAGATTTTGTACAATTTTGAAATATATTAAGTGGATACCTGAGAAATAGCAATGTTGTGTGCTTGGGCTCCAAACACCACAATTTTTTTCTACTTTGAAGCCAGAAAAATTGACAACAAATTAATAAGCACTACGAACCACATCCAAAGCTCTGTGAAAAAAGCTGAGGTCCGCTCGGTATTTCCACTGTAGAGCTGATCAGCCTTCTGGGGCAATGTCTACATTAGTGACTTTTTTGTGGTTATTGAGGCAGAGCAATGACTCAAAGCAGTTGCTACTGAGCTCCTCATAGGTCCAGGTAGGGAGAGGGGGGTTATTCAAATTCCTGTCAAATAAGCCAACCAGTTCTACTCTAAATTGCTAGTGAAGATAACATAATTCGTGTTATGTGTCAAACCATGTTAAAGCACTTAGTTTACAAAAACTACTCTTTGCTCCCAATATTTTATTGTACAGCACAAGTAATTTTCCAGTATGTATCGTATGTTTTCTAGAAAAATATTCTTGTTTTCCCTGAAGTCTTAAGTAGAAAGTAAAAATATCTTACTGTATTGATCCCCAGACCATTAAGCATGTATATCACATCCTCTGTGGCTACATTTCCAGTGGCACCTTTTGCATAGGGACAACCACCCAGTCCTGCAACCGATGAATCCACTACAGCAACTCCCATCTGGAAGATAACAACACAAAAATGCAACATCAGCATAGAGTATTATTTATAATTATTCATAAATAGCAGGCTATACTTATTAGTTACCATGGATAAAATACACATTTCTCCACAAATGGATGTGTTTCTCGGAGGAAACTCCTTATAACGGCATTAGTCCTGACATCTTTATAAGGTAAGACTCTTCAAACACAGGATGTGGAACAGAGAACTAACAGTGCATTACATGTGATTGTGGCAGATAAGATGATTGCCATTTTAGAGCCAGAGTTTTATGTTTTTTCTCTCTTTATCTCTGTACATGTTGTTTTTAAGTAGCCTGCATCTATTCCTGCAAAGGCTTAGATGCACCCAAATACAATCAATGCATTTATTCAAATGTGTAATTTTAAGCATATGTATAAGTCTTTGCAAGTTGGAAGTCTTAATATCAGCATCTGATATACGTGTCATCCAAAAGATTTTGGGACATCTACCCTCTAAAATGTGTTTTATATTAATAGCTATTCTTCCACAAAGAATTTCCCTTTTAGCATTTTCTCTCTTCTCATTTTCTTTTCTTTCCTCTTAATTAGACATCATGAATCCACCATGTACATAATCTTTTTGTGCTTCTTTTAGAGGAAGACTATAAGGTATTTTCTCCCAAATTGAATACCACAATGTAAGGAAGAATTAAATTTTCGCAGATCTGTTAAAGAGTTCATGAGTTTAAATCAACTGGAAATAAAAGTTTAAAGAACTTTATCCTGGTGAGTCTGACCCATTGTATATCATATTCAGCAGTCTAAAAGAAAATACAACCCCCAGATTAGCAAATTTCACACCCTAGCACAGTCCTGGAGCAGCACTCAAAAACCTAGTTTTTAAGATGTTTGGAACAACTGAATAGCTTGGATATCATGAAAGTTCTCCATAGATATAGGTTCCAATCTTTGAATATTTTTAAGGGAGTACTTGATGCACAGCATTAAGCTTTCTCATTTAAATTAAGACTTGAAAAAACAGCCAGCTGTCATAAATTCATAATTCTCTGATTTTTATTTTTTTCCTACTGCAT